AGCGCGTGAAGGTCTTCCTGCTGCTGCTCTTACTGTTCTGTCACTCCAGCCAGCAATCAGCCTCAGATACCACCCAAACGTGGCCCCTGTTCAGAAGCGGGACATGCGTTGAAAAACGGTGTCTTTCAAGTTCTATGGATCAATTCACTGAAAACTGCACCTCCCATAATTACAGCAGCCAGCTTTGTGTCTCTTAGTGTAATCTCTTCGTAAATGCTTTGAAAGCTAAGTTCATTGAGGAAGCCATCAAAGAGAACCAAAGTGCATCTATGTTAATGCTTCATCACTATTAGCTTAACTCACCAATAATGACAGCCAGAATTCAAAACAGGAAGGTATTTCTTTTCTTAATTCGCATTAGGCTATGTATCTGAGGACAGAATATACATATTTTTCTTTTTTTAAAAGTTGGCTAAAAAAATACAAACACCTATAGAGAGCTTAGAACATGAAATAATTCTTAAATGTCTGCCTTTTAAAAATGAAATTAAATCATAAATAGTTGTGAGAAGAGGAGACTGCTTCAATAGAACACACACGTCTCAGAGAAAACCTGTACTGAGCCTAGCACATGCCAATCAAGGCATCAGCCACTTGGTGGAGTCTAGCATAAGCCTGGCGTACACATCCCCTGGGCCAGAGCCAGGTGCTCCCCAGAAATTCAAAGTGCAGGAATGCACACACCTACCTCTCCATCTGCGTACCTCAGTGGTTCATCATTACCTAAGAAACATCTGATGGGAGGCCTGCTCCTCCTCCTTAAACTTAATCATCTTACATGATCATTATTTTTCAAGCTGTGAAATTTTGTACAGCATACTGCCATCAAATAAATGAACAATAAGACCGATTTTCATAATTGCTACTGGATACTTGGGACATTTTTCTTCTAAGCTGGGCTTTTTGAGCAGCAGTGGGAAAGGAAGTATTAAGCGTACTAGCACGATGATTGTACCAGCCTGTGATAATGGAGGTGAGTTTAAGTCACATGATGATTTTTTTTTCTCGGTATTTATGATAAGGTGTACAGGGAGTTCAGGGCCTCACTGCATAGATCAGACTCATAGTGCTCCTCCTGTTTACAGCCTTCCAAGTGCTAGGATTACCTACATGCACCACCACACCCAGTCTCAGTCACCCGGCTCAGAGCGCTCCAGGGGCGCGGCTGTCACGGCAGGCCAGGAATCAAACTCCTGGTCACTGTGTCTAAGCAGACACTTTAATGCGCTGAGCTACTTGGCTTGCCCTATGTTGGTCTTATGACCAAAGCTCAGCTTAAAAGTTTACTGGTAAGTGCACAAGTACATCATCTGACTCCAGTGATACCTTAAGTCACAAAACTATAATTGTGAAGCACAGTACTGTCTACATCCTCTCTCTGGCCTTTTAATTCATATTCACAACTTTAACCACCAACCACAAGATGGTAAATCATGAATATTTATTACCTGGTCCTGATTTCCATCTCAACTTCAGGCCTACACCGCTAACTGTCATGGACATCACCATTTAGCTACCTCACAAGGATCTTACACTCCACATGTTTAATCCACAATCATTAACTCCAGCTTCCTCCTTCTCTTATAATTATTCTAGTGATAAAGCTTGTCATTAAAGTCTTTCTCTTTTTCTTCATTCTACTTCAACTCTATTATCAAACTGTATTCAATTTTGTTCAAATACGTCTCTTTCTTTCTGTCCTTAGGACCTATCACTTAATTTAAGGCTTTATAGCACTTAAAAAATATGTATAAGGTAAAAGTCTGAACCACATGAATTTTGATGTTCTTTGCACAGAAGGGGCTTTATTTGCCTCGCTCACTCCTTGTTCTCCAGCATCTAAAACAGGTACTTAAGGCAAGCTGCTAAATCGTTTCTCAGCACGGTTGAGGCATGACAGCAATTTCAAGTCCTCTTCTGATTTCTGTACAGCCCCCTACAAGTGACAAAACTATCTCAACAATAAAGGACAAGACTTGGAGTTAAATAACCTGCCCACAGTGTCTGCCACCCACCTAATGAATTACTGCTACTCAGTAATATCTAAACCCATTTCAACCCCGACCTGAGAAGATATTTCCATTATTCCTATTTTTCTAGGGCTAAGAAATTCCTTCTCTGTGTAATGATTAGAGAGAGATTATTAAGATCAGTGATGGTGTTCAGATATCTTCTCTACCATTGCAACAGGTTACTTCTAGTAAGGTTCCTTTCAATTCTGGATTCCTTAGCTGAGATGTAGACAGCTGGCTGCTGAAGTCTCTCTGGTGGCCCCCTTCTCTCCCTTCTGACACTGGTTAGCAGGGGAGTTGACAACTCTTTAATAAGCTTGAATTGTCATCTTTTAAGTTTTAAAGCTTTTTCAACTCTTCTATCTAGCTTCACAAATCTTTTGTTCTACTTAGAAAGTACTGTTTCCCAAAAGGTTACAAACAAATGTAGAGAAGTCTCCAGATCCAACTTTCTATTCAGAGGAGATGTGGAGGAGAGGAACAAGTTAAAGAGTACCACAAAGAAGCAGACAGGTAAGCACAATCCTGAGTATGACTGGCATATAAGATCATCAGCAAATTCTATGAGCTGATTTAACCGCTGAAACCAAAGGATTACTGTTAATTTTGTTGAACACCAAGTGTCGTGGTTCTACTAGAACATATCCACAGTTTTTATGTACAATAAAGTGTATAGTGTTGAAGGCCTAAGAAAAAAAGAAAGAAGACAAAGAGATGACCCAAATGCACCCAATCTTGATAATTAATGAATCTGAGTGTTGGGTGAAGGAAATTACTTTATACTAGTCTCTATTTTGAAATAAACTTGAAATTTTTCAGAAAAAATTGTACTCCGAATTCTCTATGCCTTTTACATCTATAACAGATATAACTACATGTAATAGGTTTTAACCACTGACTTTTGCTAAGGTATTCTAATATTTTACCTCCTATTTCTTTTAAGATTTGGCTTGCTAAAATGTGTGATAAGGGTTGTGCTCTTAGCTGGCATTTTTAGCAACATGATACAGTGATAACTGAGTTGAGCTGCTCTGTATAAGTCATGCTGTTTGCCTTTAGTTACCAAGAAAACTTGCAGAGCTCTTCTTCGCCACAGGATGTGGTTAGATAAATGAGCCTCAGGGAAACTATTAAATAACCCTCAGCCAAGTCTGGCCCTGCCAGCCACAGGGCAGAGCCTCAAAGGTCCTCACCAAGACTCACCTAAGAGCAGAGAGGAAAATAGTTGCATAGTATGGCTGCTTGGTGTTTGTGTTTGATCCTTTTTTTTTTTTTTTTTTTTTTTTTTTTTTGCAGGGGGTTGGGGGGGGGAAGGACCTACAGGATGTTTGGGGTCTCATATCGGACTCTAGTGATCCACCTGTTTACAGCCTCCCAAGAGCTGGGATTACAGGTACGCACACGCCCAGTCTCAATCACCCTCTCAGCATGCCCTGAGGGCGGGCCTGGCTTGGCAGGCCAGGGGATTGAACCCCCAACCCCTGAGCCTGCTTGCAGGCGCTTTAATCCGCTGACCTGTTCAGCTGGCCCTTATCTATTTTCAATGTGTATTTACTCACAATCATATCTACCTACCCTTCTGCAGTACAATGTCCCAATGCCCAGCCTAGGCTCTCTTTGGAAAATAAAATACATGCGAGCTGATGATCTAAACTGCACATAGTACTGAGTATGCTGCTAATTATGCCCATTTCCAGCCCAGGTCCACATCCCTGGATTCTCACTGACAGCAGGGTGTTTTGTGCAACCCAGGAGCCTGCCGTGGGTGCTGGGGAGCTTCTGCAGAGGGTTACAAGGATGGTTTCTTGGGAAGGACAGAGGAAACAGCAAGAAGGCGAGTGTAGGGGGCAGGACTGCTGACAGAGGAATGGAAAACTGGCGACATCTATTCTCTGTGAAGATTCTCCAGAGTTCAGAAGTGGCATGCAGCAAAAAATGGAAGAGAGGAAAAAACAAACAAACAAACTAGCAACCTCTATAGGCACAACCTCTATAGACTTCCTTCCTAACTCTAGGAAGAAAGAAAGAGAGACAGCAGTACAAAATCTAACACGATTCAAAATTTCATAGGATAAGGATGCCATCTTAAAAATCCAGAGGGAATTTTCAGCCCCCTTTCAAAGCTTCTCTCCCAGAGATCATCTCTTCTGGAAGGAAGAGAAGGACAAAGAGACAAGAGTCTGCCAGCACAGAGGCAGTGCAGAGAAATGATCTTAAATACATCATAGAAGCCCTTATTTTCTTCCACTAAAATATAAAAAAAGGAAAATTGGCCCTTCTGTTTCTTACTGCATTAAAGAGTTTTAATGCATATAAACATTTAAAATTATCTTTTCCTATTTTATGAAACTCCAATGATCTCTACAGTTAAAAATTCCTCCAAGATTAAAAGAAAGGTAGAGACAATAAGACAGAGACAAAGTTTACTAAAAAAACAAAACAAAACAAAAAAAAACAACACAACTATCTATGCCATTAGACAAAGTAGCAGATCTACTGCCACATGTATTTCCAGAAAACAGTGGCTTTATCTGAATCGGTGGAGGACTGCCAGGAGATGTGATTATTTTCTCCTGCTTGCTCTGCTGTACGGAGTGACAGAAAGAAGAAGAAAGGAAAGAATGTCATTTGAAATGGAGCTTTCCATCTGCAAGAGGGAGAAAGCATACGAAAGCTTTTAGGTCTATATCAAATGAGTGGATGATGTTTTAAAAGTCTAGGCGAGAGTTCAAGAGCTGTACATCTGCAGAGCCAAAGCCCTTCCAGCACATCCAGATCCTGTACTTCCTTCCCCAGTGGGGCAGTGCTGGCAGAGCTGGAAACTCTAGAAGCATATGGCTGTTGGCTCAGGAGCTTGGGAACTCCCAGACAAGGGTCGAGGGATCTGACTGTATTCTGAAGAAATGTTTGTCTTCAACATTTGTCAGAGGACCCCAGAGCAAGACGAGAAACAAACAAAAAGGGAAATTAGAGTGAGGAATAGTTTACCTTCGGAGAACAGTTGAAATGCATACCAGGTACTGGGAGTGTAGTAACATACATTGTAATACACCGATACAGGTACAGCGTGCCAACTATGCAGAAAAATCTTCTGCTAATAATAGACCTAGAAAAAGGGAAAAACAGGGCAGATTCTCAGTCAAGAAATTCTGCAGGTTCAATTAAAGTTTTCAATGACCCAACAAAAAAGCCCAAAAAAACTACTCAAGAGCTTGAAACTGGAATGCTATAATTAACAGTAGATCAAGATGAAGATTTGGAGAATAATGTTGTGCTTTTCTAAAAAACATTAATTGTCCAAAAGATTTGAAATTGCTCTATACTACTATTAATTATGCTTCATGAGGCCTTATCCTTGAGCTGACATTCAACTGATAGAGAGTCCATTCTGAACATTCAGAGCCCACCCAGTGTCTACAGTTACATCTGTAGTATATTCTCAGTCAGAAAAGGGAACATGCCCACAGAATGTCATTAAAGTGAGAATTTAAAACTTTTACACCATGCAATAAGTCAAAGACATTAAACAATTAAACTCATACATATCAGTAATTGATCCTCAGGAACAACCTGATTCCAAGAAAAGAATATATCTGAAGGAAGAATCCAATCCCATACCACACCCCTATCTCTAGGTCGCCTCAGAACATGCTACTTATAGGACAGCACTTCCCAGAGTCTCACTTTCCTAGTCAGTAAGATAGACTATGGCACTAGAAATAAGGTATGGGAAATCTTGGCCATATAATACCTTCAAATGGTAGCTATCTGATAGCTTGTAGATTAATCCTGTACAAATATAAGAATTAGAAACACTTTCTACTAGTGGTTCTAATAAAAACTTTCCCTTCTTCTCAATTAAATAAACAAGGAAAACAGAGTGGACAAGCTTTCCTCAGAGAATATTGACCATTTAATTGTTCTATAACTATATTTTTATGCAGGATGGACACAGCTATTGAAGTGTGATAGCCAGAAGAATGTCTCATTATACTTTTTATTTTAAAATAAAGTGATATGTTACTCATGTGGTTAAAAATTAATTAAAAAGGAGCTGGGGAGATGGCTCAGTGGAATAAGTGCTTCACTGGCAAGTGCAAGGGCCTGAGTTCAATCCCTGGTTCTGCAAAATAAATAAATAAATAAATAAATAAATAAATAAATAAATAAATAATAATTAATTAAAAAGACAGCTTATGCAACTATAATAGTATTTCATTCATATATGCACAATCTGGAGACTGGGTTTTATCAATAAAATTGATCAGTTTTGAAAAAATTTGGGTATTTTTTCCCCTATAGTGTAGTAATAAAATCAGAAATATTTGCCACAATTTTGCTTCTTTTATTTTTCTTTTAGTGAAACTGTGTATTACTTCCACAGAATTTATTTACACAAAGATGACTTGGAGAGATATGTGCCTCTAATTTCAAGTGTAATGAAAAGTGTGACATAATTGAAAAATTCAATGAAGGATAATAATAAAGAGGGCCAGGGAGATTGCGCAGTAGAGTAAGTGCTTGCCTGGCAAGTGCAGGGTCCTGAGTTCAATCCCAGGTACTAAAAAAAAAAAAAAAAAAAAAGAATACAGAAAAATACCAAAGTGAAAACCAATACTGTACACTGTTAGATAAAATGATCACCTTTCTTTTAAAAAATTACTGGTTCTAGTAAATATTAGTATCTTAAAATCATTTTTGTTTTACACACACACTCACATGCACACAGCTCCCAGCCTTTTGCAACTATTTCTGCAGTTCAAACTTGAGTTACATGTAAGTACGAAGGAAAGAATTTATTATCTGAGAATAAAGTGTATGAAAAAGGACAGTATTATGAGAAAAGACAATTTCTTTTCTTTAAAAAAAAATTAAGTAAAAATACTGAAGATTGGGAGCTGGGAAAGATAGCTCAGTGGTCTAAATGCCTTTCTGGCAAGTGCAAGGAACTGGGTTCAAACCCTAACAGATCCTGTGCCAGCCCTGCCCCCAGGGCAGGCTGAGCCAGCCAGAGTCCAGGTGTGGTGTCTCATGCCTATAATCCCAGCATAGAGGAGGCTGAAAGCAGGAGGATCACAAGTCCAAGCTGTGCAGTGAGACCCTGCAACAACCAAATACATTAAATAAAAAAGAAAAAAAAATTCACATTTAGATTCTTAGTTTCTTGAGGGGTTAAAAGTTCGGGTTTAAAAATTCAAGACATACGCAAAAAAACAAAATGAGCCAGGTATACTGGAACAATCCTGTAAATCCAGCACTCGGGAGATGGAGGCAAGAAGATCCCTGAGTTGGAGCCCTGCCAGGGCTATACAGCATTGACTAGACTGCAAGACTCTGTTTCAAAAAAAAAAAAAAAAAAAAAAAAACTGAAAAGGAAAAAGAACTCTAGAAGGAATGCTAATGAGCTATTACTGGATTAGAGATCAGCAAAATATCAACAAGAAGATGCAAGTCTAATTCTCAAACCCCCAGGCCCTGTTGGCTGTCCACAGCCCTTCCCTTATGTGAGAGCCTGCTTCCTGGGGACGGGCACTCGACAAAGTCTCTCAGCTAGTATCTTATGTTTTCCCCAAATTTCTGAGCACCAGATCCATCAATTTTTCTTCTGCAAAAAAGCAAATACATCTCCTAAATTTGATTGTAAGGCAATACCAATAAAAAGGTGATTAATATTTTATAGCTGATTATCTATTATCAATTTGTGCATGATGTCCAGTACAGGTGACTTAAACTTTTTCTTTGCTGGTGATTCAGGAGATTGATCTCAGGGTTTCTCAATTGCTGGGTGTGTGCTCTACCACAGAGCTACATCCCCAGTCCCTTGTTAGACTTCCAATATCCTTTATTTGAAAAGGAAAAAGGCTCTGAACTTGATCCTATTCTATCACACCAGGCTTAAAAAGTACTATAATCTTTTTGTCATTTGGTACAATGGTCAAAAATTCTAAAAGAAATATGGTAAAAACAAATTAATACACTGCAAAGTACAGATAAAGTACTAGAGAGTTCTTACTTATTTCGTTTGTTTGTTTTGTTTTTGCAGAACCGGGGATTGAACTCAGGTCCTTGTGTTTGCCAGGCAAGCACTTATTCCACTGAGCCATCTCCCTGGCCCCTCTTACTTATTTCATAAGTTGTCTCTTTCAACTAATTCAAAGCAGGAAGATAGGTATAAATCTTGGCATACAGGAGAAACTTGGCTGCTTATTAGTATAACTCCTGAAGAATATCTCAACAGAAAAACAACTGTTAGTGCAATACTTGGTTCTAAATAAAATTACTTCATTTCCTCCAAAACTCTAATATTAAGGAATAATGTTTAAAGATATTATAAATAATTATATTCTGATACCATTCTTGGAACTAGCCTTTCTATTTATTTCTAACCCATTTCTCTGATTCAGATCTTATCTGCCAGCTCATTATGGAATCTTGTAGCTTTTAGAAACAAATCGGCCCTGACACAACAAGAGCAAAAAGCAACCTCAAAATTCAGAGACAATAAACAAGGGAAGGCACAGGCAACCATATCCCACAGCAAAGAGATTCAAAGATCTGGGACAGTCGTCAAGGCTAGAGCGCATCTCAGGTCTCTGATTAAAGATCCCAGTGTGTAAGACAGGGGGAACATATCACGGAGCTTTATCTTTATTTTTTAATCATTCATTCATTCATTCATTCATTCATTCATTCATTCAGTACAGCGTCTTGCTACGCAGCTCTGAGGTAGTGATCCTTCTATCTCAGCCTCCCCAGCACTGGGATTACAGGTGGGCCATTAGGGATCACCCAGGGTTCTGGCGCCAGCAAAGCATGTGGTACTGGAGATTGAACTGGGTCCTTGTGCTTGTCAGGCAGGTGCTTATGCCGCCAAGCCATCTCCCCTAGCCTGGAGCTTCATTTTTACACGCTAATTCTACTCGGAAAAAAACTTACTTGGTGACTTGAGCATCATCTTAATTAATTTCCTTGAATATCTGCTTCCTCTCCAGTAAGCTTTTCTATTGCTGGGACCTAATACCCAACTCCCACAGCTTAGAGGAGGACAGCTTCAATTCAACTCATGGTTTCCAGGGATTCAGCCCCCAGTTAGTAGGCTTCAGGGCAGAAACTTCGTGGCGGAAGGGACTAGCCAGGCAAGCTGCTTGGTCATAGTGGCTAAGAAACAAAGCATAAGGGACCAGTGACAGAGAGTGGAAAGGGGTCAGATGTAGCGCCCATGGCCATGCCTCCATAACCCGCCCAGACACCCTAGAAGTGTTCCACTGAGCCTCTGGGGGCTCCCAAGTTAATCAAGTTGGCTTACTGTCACAAAGATACTGCCTTCTGATGCGAGGCAGGTTAGAAACAAATGGAAAAGCTATGAACAATGCCAAGAATGGGTATCAAAGTACTGTATTCCTTACTTTTGAGTTTTTAAACCTTTAAGAAAGAGCCTTTAAAAAAAAAAAACTTTATTTAGAGCCAACTACAAACACATTCTGAGGATCTTTTTTTCTGTGGAAGTAATTTTCAGGTACAATATTAAACAATGTCAACGAGTTCTTGAAACAACTCAACAATGCATAGCAATAATCCTTGTTTTATTTGTTTTGTTTTGTATTTTAGGGAAGGGTCACCAGGGTGTTCAGGGTCTCACTACTAGATCGGACTCATAGTAATCCGCCTGTTTACAGCCCCCCAAGAACTGGGATTACAGGCGTGCGCCACCACATCCAGTCTCAACTGCCCTCTCATGCGCCTTGGGGGCAGGGCTGGCACGGCAGGTTCAGGGATTGAACCCCCTGCCCCTGCCCTGCTTACAGGCGCTTTAATCCACTGAGCTGTTTGGCCAGCTCTTAATCCTTGCTTTGTAATTGGGAAAACAGGTTCAGAGAGTCTACACTGAAATGTAAATATATTACACAAGACAAAAATAATCAGACAAAAATTGATTCACACTGTATAAGAAATCCCAGTATTTGAGTGCCTAAGAGTCAGCATTCTATTATATTTTTGTTACATTTCAAGAGCTACTTAAATTTTTCATTAAGTTTATGTTTTATGTCATATTTCATACTGATCATAACTCTACAGACATTTTGTTGATAATATTAGTTTTCAAAG